TCGTGTTATCATCGCTAACCGTTCAATTACTTTGAGATTTGTGCCAATAATATTAATGTGTGTGTCATATTAAAATCACACATCTCTCTCTTACATTTGCTAAAAAAAAAAAACATTTTATTATATAGACATATTTCTGAAATATTTACTTAATGACTAAAATTATTATAAAATATTCTTTAGCTCTCAATGCCTCATCTCTCTCATTTATTACTATATATTTGTAATACAGATGCTAACGCTATCACTAATTTTATTTCATGCAAAGTTCAAACATTGCTTAGCCGAGATCAAATCTTTGGTCATCGAATCTTTATTGGTATTTGGCGTTATCACGTCTCACTCAAATGCATGTCTGCACCCAAAACAAAGGAAGACAACTGGAAGCCATTATTGTAGGTGCTACATGACTTCACATATGATATTAAGAAGCTATTAATGAAATTTTTACATATATACCACACAGTTTTTTTGTATTGGCATAGATAAGATCTAAAGGTGAATTTACACTTATAACCTTTGGTTTCGTTAACATATGCATGAAAAGCGAAAGGTGTGCTTCAATTAAAAAAAATTTTGAAATAGTAATATTTTTTGTTTGTATGTATGAATGTTTAAATGTTAAATATATCGACATAAATTTGTGTGTGTATGTCAAAAATATGACTACACGAATCTCAAGGAAGTTCGACCGGTGTTGCTTAATAGATATCAATGGACTGTATCGAGACAACCAAAAGATGGAGGCGTCGAGCGTTGTTTCATTCGGCTAAAACTCTGCGTCGATCGAACGGAAGCACAACCATATGAAAGAACATGAAGCACTTGATATGAGGGAATATTATTTATAATCAGCTTCCTCAACTGATTCTAGAATTTTTCACAATGATGGCCAAAGGGCAACCCATTGAATATATGTATAATCATTTGTGAAGGCCCGTTGTCCGAAGGAGAGCTGGCTATCAGATTATAGTGATACACACCTTTGTTGATGGTCTAAGTTCACCCCGACAACGAAATGACATCTATTGAGGATTTTCTCGAGAATACAGGTTGAAGACCTTCCAACCCGCCAAAGACCTTACAGTTGATTGAAAAATTTTAAGCTGACGAAACGTCTATGAACGACTGAATGGTAATGTCAGCGAGACATTAAATATCCCTCTTCAAGCAGTTATGAATATGATACGGTGTCAATGTCAATTAGTGAAAGTTGAAGGTCCCAGAGTTAGTTACTAATTGTGTAATAATTACTTGTAGCATACATGTTTTAATCCATATTAAAACATGGACAAATATGTAACTCAACTAGATCCCCTATGATATTAAATAGGGGGTCATTTCTTCAAGAAAAAAACTACTAAACTTATTCTTTAAGGACTCGTGTTACTGTGCACTCTCTCTCTCTCCCTCTCTCTCTCTATTATGTTTCACTCATATGTCCAACGCTATATTCATTGGGTGTGATCCACATGACATTTCTGCTCAAAATCTTAAAAGGTGTAGTGAGTGTGGAATTACACCGTCAAGGGAGAGATATGCCACGACGAAGGAACTTATTTGGAAGAAACCTCGAACATGGATTTTGTCCGAGAATTTGTGCAACAACAAATTCAAGAACTCAGAAACCAAATGACGTGACAAATAGTGGAACTGATCCACGCTATAGTTGAGGGGAAAGCACAAGCTCTTTAAGAACCAAACTCTCGAGAACCTGAACTCCAAGGTCACCGGACAAAGGATTGACGTCCATGGCTTCGTGACTGTCTCCTAGAATGGTAGGTGTTAGAGCTGGATACTTTATTGTTGTGAGTATTGCATCGAGTGCCCATTCAACAAGTTTTGTAAATTCTTCAATTGTGGGATTGATTGCTCCCATAAATGGTGTCTAAATGATGTGTGCTAGAGAATTCGCATCCTTAGAGATAAAAATGAGAGGTAGATACTCCATAAATTTTTATGTGCAAAACCCAGAAGGGAAAAAACATAGAGCTTGTCCTAGTCAAAAACAATCCACCATAGCTTCATGAGTACATGTACAAGTCATTTTCCTACGACTGACGGGAAAGAGCACAAAAAATACTTTAAACAAACTCTGTTTATGAAAAAATTAAACTAAAGATTAAAAAATACTTTAAACAAACTCTGTTTATGAAAAAATTAAACTAAAGATTAAAAAATACTTTAAACAAACTCTGTTTATGAAAAAATTAAACTAAAGATTAAAAAATACTTTAAACAAACTCTGTTTATGAAAAAATTAAACTAAAGATTAAAAAATACTTTAAACAAACTCTGTTTATGAAAAAATTAAACTAAAGATTAAAAAATACTTTAAATAAAGATTTCTTGGAAAATAAATTATTCTACTGAACTAATAATATTTACAGCGAATACAAAAATTATTAAAAATTTTAATATTTAAAATTAAATAATTATGGTATGTGTGGATACATGAAAATTATAACTGGCTCAAAATTTTTGATTAAATATTGAAGTAAAAATAATCCTTTAATTAATTATTTTATTTTAAAGTAATATTATATAAGATTTATTTTTTAATCTGTTATAATTATCACAGGATCAAAGATTATTTTGAATAAATATCTAATTTATAAAACTTAAAGTAATAAAATTAATTAATTTTTTTTATATAATAACATATATAAATATTTAAAATAAGGAATTCAATTAAATAAAAATTTTAAATTTATTACATTATAAAATTAAAAGCAACCTACTTTATATATTTTTTAATTATTCTCCTGCAAATTTTCTCTTAAATTTTCATTTAGTATTAAAGGCACTGTTGAAACATTAATTTGAATTTTCACTCTTATATCAAAATTTGAAATAATTTTATTTACATTAACTTTGATAAATAAGCTTAATTAGATGATTTAAAACCTCAATAGAATAAATTTTTATCTGTAAGTCAACAATGATACTTCTAAAATAATAGTTATTTATATAATTAAACGTATAATTATTACTTGTTTAAACAGTTGTATCTTTTATCATTATGAATAATAATATTAATTAAAATATTTAATAAAATTATATTCATGCTTGGCATTTTTTATTGTTAAATTTATAAATGGACTTTAATTTATGTGTTGTCCCAAATCTGATAATTTTCAATTTTACGAGAAAATATTACATCAGGACTCCCAACGTAATTTGTATTTGAAGTTCAATGATGGGACGGACGTCACGTGTCAATTGAGTCCCACTATAATACACTAGTATTAGTCGGTGTTAAAAATGGTGAAGTTGATTTGACACGTGACGACCCATCATTGAACTATGAATGCATCAGAAGTCCTATGTAATATTTTTCACAATTTTTTAGATTATAATATGTAATTTATTCATTTTGGGAGAATTCGATGCTCTTTCTGAAGGACCAAGTCTCATTTCCTGTACCCGAAGAAACGAAAGCTACAAGAAACCGCCGGACCTGCAGCCGGCGAAAAGGTACCAAATCAAAAGATTAATGAGTTAAAAAAAAACGATAAGAATAATACAAACCAGAAGAAAACAATTCACCTTTCAATGGAAACAGCTCACTGGTTTCAAGGTTGACGGCACGGCACGAACGGGACGAGTCATGGGGACGACGGACACGCACGCGACGACGACGGCGTAAACGTCGACGGAGAATTCTAACGTAGACAGATCAACAAAACTCTGCACACGGATCTCCCGACTGCAATAGATACGATAACGTTCGATTAAACCTTAGATCATTTTAATGAAATATAGATATCGATTTAAACTGTAATTAATCTGTTGATGATTATTAGCTAGGGTTCACTTTGTCGATGTTTCTTTTTTTTTTTTTTTCATTAAAAATCTGGTTCCATAGCCAACAACGGCTGTAATAGAGCATTATGTACAATTTGACGGATAATGATCATCCGTCTTCTGCCTTAGCTGCCTGCGCCTTCTCTCTTCCAGATTTTGCAGTACAATAGAAGGAAAGGAAGAAAATAATGAGAAGTGAACTGGCGAATCGGAGGGGCGCTGCTGATGAAGAGGCCAGGGAAAGGACTTTAGGCTTCGGAGCAAGATTAACAAACCTGCTTTGAAATCTACGATCCTTTGCTTTTCAGATCATAGATCATCAGCTTTCGTCATCTGTGAAAGCCGACTTGGCTGAGGGCGGAAGTCAGCTCTCCGCCGCTGTTGATGCGATGAAGGACGGATTAGGGCGGCGAGAGCCCTCTTGACAAACTCGCCTTCGACTGTACCGATCCGGACGAGTGAGTTCGTCATCGCCGATCGTCTGGCGTTGAGACGATTTGAAGGTGAGGAGACCGCGGCGATCGGGCGATTGTGGGTGCCTTTATGGAGGCTGCAGCGGAAGGAACCGGGATGGGTCGTCGGGGAGCACATACATGTCTTACGGCGTCCAGGGGCGGAGATCGGCGGACGGATGACGGGATCACGGCTGGCGATTGCAGAAATTGAGCGGCCGGGGGAGGTGGAGCGGTCGATAGAGAAACGGACGGAGTGGGCCGCGGGAGATCCGATGAGGTTTACGCGGGTAGGTGAGGAGGATCGGGGAAGGAAGTTGGAAGTCGAGCGTGCGGAGAAGCTCGATGAGGATGTAGCGAAAACGTTTACGGAAGAAGCAGCCGCTGGTGATGAGAACGCGGAGGAGTAAAATCGGCCGGCGGGGGGTATGGATGGCGTCAAGCCGCTTTTTATGGGTAAGACCCGGCCACTAGATCTGGATCTAGACGAAGAGGACATTTCTGTGGACAGATGCTACGAGAGAGAACAAGAAAGGCTGCGGAAGAGTTAGAAAAAGAAAGAAGAGTGGATGTTTCCGACTCCAATTCTGCAAACCTAGCTCCCCTCCGACGAGGTATTTATACAAAAAATTGGGGGAAGACTTGATGGCAAGTGTAGTAAATAAGAAGAAATCTGTGGGCAGTATGTGACGGGTAGCTAGTTTTGGTTTAGGGTTTTCCTTTAACCGTGGTTTATAAGGACAAAATTACCGTTAAATATTCATGTTATCACGTTGTATTCATTTTTGGATGTACAATTCCTGAATAGTTTAAGAACTATGAAATATTTATAAATATTTTCAATCTCATAATATGTAAAACAATAAATTAAAAAAAAAAAAAAAAGGTTAGAGGCCTTTCTTACTCTAGTATTTTTTCAAATACAAATATTTTTACTTATATTTTGTCTAATTTCAAGTTTGGAAGAGGAAAAGAAGCAAAGAAAAGAAAAACAAAGAGAAATACTAATCCTGAAAAAAGATGAGTTGTTTTTATTTTTCGATGATAAAACAGTTTATTACATGGTCGTGTTTATAACCTTTGAAGAGAAAATTATAAACATAGCTAGAGTCATAAATGTCTTTTTACACGTGATAAATAAACTATATATAAAACTTTATTTCAGCTTGAGTCCTAACTCACTTAGAGGATTTTGACAGAGCGAGCCGCTGCTTGGAGAGACATGATGAAAGGCCAAATGTTGAGCTCTGAGAAGCAGTGATGATCAGAGCTTGAAGAATAAGAGATAGATCTCCTTTCACATCCCCCCCCCCCCCCCCCCCCCCCACCTCCACCAGACTTTGTGATCGTCAGATTGTTTATAAGATGTTAATGTCTCTTGATCGATTGTTGTTTGATAAATCGGTCAAGATATCCCTGTCTAATCAACATTTTAATATATTCCTTGAGCTATTTACATGCCTCATTGGTGTGTCCATGACTTCGATGAAAATGACATTATTATTTCTGATTCCCTGTGCTAGGCTTCAGGGAGTGATGCCACTTAATATGTTCCTCGTCTTTGATGTCCATCAGGACATTAAGATGCAACATGTTGAGTGGTGTATGCTCTTTCTTAGGTTGATGCTCCCTTCGTTGGCCCATAGGATGGGGAGGGAGGTAATGATTCCTTTGTTATTCAGACTTTTTCGTTGCGAAGATTGATTATTGTCTCTAGTGCTACTCTTACACTTCCTCTAAATTTCTTGAATTGCTCCTTAGGTGCGATGATGGCCTTGTTCGCAATGATTTGGGCCTCAACATGGTTCCGCATAAGAACAAACTGTCTTATGCATCAGCGATGAGTAGAAGGGTTATGGGCGGAGTCCCCCAAGAAAGACTCCTCTCAGTAGCTCCGGATCCACTTCCGAAATCTGACAGGCTTCAGTGGAAAACCTGTAGAAGTAGTCCTTGAGCCACTCTCCTTCACTTTGGCAAATTTTTGATGGATGGGATGAATCCTTGATGATCCATCGATTTATCATGAACTGCTTCTCGAATAGTCTGACAAGCTCGTTAAAGGTGTTTACAGTGCCTCTGGCAAAGAGTAGAATAGGTGCGAGCTTGTCCTTTAAGAGTAGTCGGGAACACTTAATACAGAAGCGCATCAGATGCATGTTGATTTTTCATGTTGGTTTGACAGTGATTACTATACTTATATGGGTCAATTATCCCTTTGTAGGTATCAATGTTCTAAAACTTGAAGCCTGTTGGGATGGGGGGTTGGAGGACCGCATTCGTTAAGGAAGAAGATTCATGGATGTTACGGTGAGTGCAGATTTCTCTAAGGGGAACTCTTCTTGGACGAGAAGTCGTAGCTCATTACGAATGACGTCATCTGGAATGCCAGCAAGGCATGGTGGTGTCAGGTGAGCTACGCAAGATGGATGAGTGGAACTTGTGGTATCTAGAAGTTCAACATCATGTCTTGGTAGGGGAAGTGTTCCTTCTTGGGGAGGGGGCTGGTACGAGTCTCCGAGTTGGGTTTCTCGTAGGTCACTAAGTTAATGATAAACGAACTTCTTTTAACTGTGAGGGTAGCGACTGTTGAGCTCCATGTAGGAGTTGCAGGATCTCTAGTTGAGACTCCTCCATTTTGCGCATTCGGTCTTATATAGAAGGATTTGAGATGCCTTCATTAGCAAGATATCGTCTTCCTAGGCGAGAAAATGAAGAAGCATGCCGCCCTTGGCTTTTATGACTCCTCCTGTAATGATAGGTGTTAGAACGAGATGCTTCTTTGTCATGAATATTGTATCTAGAGGTCATGCAGTAAGCCTCGCAAGTACTTCAATGATGGGATTAAAGTTTTCCACAAACGGCGCCAAAGTGATGCGTGTTAGAAAATTCACAACAGTAGATTAGTAGATTATCGTCTTAGTGTGGTATGAAGATTTAACATACACTCAAAAAATAAAATAATAATGACACCAGAAGTTTTTACGTGGAAAACTCGGAAAGGATGAAACCACAGGACTTGACCCAGCTGAAGAGTTCACTATAAAAAGATTATTATAGTTGCAATCACTTCTCCCACAGACAAGAAAGAGTTATTAGGTTTCTCAAGTTACAACATCGATGAGCGGTGACCAATAGCTAATGGCGGTGTCCGGTCGGTGGTGGTCGACAGTACTTGGCGATGATCGATAGTGGTTGACGGTGATAGGAGTGTTCAATGACGCTCAAAGGTTGTCAACCACAGTCAGCGGTGTGCGACAGCTGTCGGCAGTGGTCGACGGCAGTTGTCTATGATAGACGACAGTCGGCGGTGGTACATAACGGTTGGTGATGGTCAACGATGGCAGGAATGGTGTGGGATTTCAGTTTCTTCTCACAACTTCAAGTTCTTTCTGAAACCTCAAGCTCCCCCCTCCTCATGAAAGGGATGGGGCTTTATTTATATAGTTCTGGGTGCAATTAACGCGGGGATATAAAGTACTTTGATCGGACGACTTGAGAGCTTTTTTCAATTGGACGACATTTGATAAACATTTGAGTGTCTTAATCATGTCATAATTGAGTGATCTTTGGCTCGTTGGATTCGTGCTGTCAATATGCTCCATTGGCCTATAGACTCATCTGAATTGACATTCGTTTGACCTTCCAAATGTGCCTATAAAACTTTCATAAACAGTTTAATGGCTTGATATAGGTTTGATTTGGTTTGGATTGGACCAGTTTTTGTAACATTGGATTCTTCTTGTTGAGCTGGATAGTTTGACTGTAAGTTCGCTGAAATCGGAGTTTTAAACGACTTATTATCGAATTTTAACTATCTCTTGCTCAAAAAGTCGACTCGAGATTCACGTCATGCCTCAAGATTCATGTCGTATGATAGAGATTTTTTTGAGGTGTAACAAGATCCAAAACTATTATATGAAGACCTTGAAGAAACTTGCGTAATTATGATAATAACCACTACTGCAAATTATTATAAAGAGGAATACCTCCCAAATAATTAGACTTTCATTATCATAGTTGTAATGAAATAAAGACCACTTTAAAAGAACAAAGCTAAGTTCTTACAATTATTAGCAGCAAATTTTGAAAAAGCTTGTGGCAATAAATGTTAATATTGAATTCTATTAGGTAGGAAGGAGAGCCATCAATTGACATATATTTGTACACCAAAATACCTCTCAAGGTAAACTCAATGGATCTCATCACAGAATGATCACCATTAAAGTCTTCATATATTTGATGACTTTTTCAATGTCATGTTTAAGTCAACTCAAACAAACTTAGGCCTAGGATGGACTAGGACAAACCTTACAATGCTATTTGTTAGAACTAGGTGAATTTTGATGAAATAAGCAAGCATCTTCATGTGGTCTCAACCCCTACTAAGCAATTAACATCTAATTTATGCATTTGTATCTAGTTAGACAAGTTCATTTTACTACTAGCATTTCCTAAGTGTTGCTATGATGTTTAATGTATATTGTACAAATAAATTTTATTTGTTATGAGCAAAGACTAGTAAGGATCAAATGTTAGACTTTGGAACAACAAAATAGAAGTCAGAGCTTAATCGAAATGCAAAATCATAATTTTATTCTATCTTGTATAATAATAGTTTGTTGTTGATTCCTCTCATACATACATATCATTGCAATGCTGATCGGAAACATTGGCATTCATTGTTGGAGGTCACAATCAATCATTTCGTTACACGAATTTGTTGATTATAAGAGATAATTATATACGGACCATCCAAAATATTAATATTTATAAATCAATCACCATGTGATTTTTTTTTTTTTTTAGAACTACCAAACCGATTATTTTTGCGTGACACGATCAAATTATCTAGAATTTAATAAGACTGAAAAATATGGGCGGGGGTTTTAGCCTGAAGTTTGATATTTGAGTGAGAATTTGAAAAATGAAAGAAAGAGGGCGGTTGATTTGTAAAGAGCAAGTTTAATCAGTCCTCCTGTTGTCACTGTCCAATAGATATTTTTTATATTAAAATTCATCAAATTAATTGGACATTTCCTCCCGCATCAATCAAAATATCATATGGCAAATGACCCATAAAAATGCATCTCTATTTATCTTTTGACCTCCTCCAATTATTAATTGATATACAAAGTCTAATAAGCCTCCATAACTGGCCAATGAGCCCATATGTCAACATATTCCTTGATAAAGGGTCTTGCCTTTTCAAGAGCGTAATGGACGCGGAGATGCGGCCGACCAACTTGTTCTCCACGCCCACGCAACTAAAAGCACGGCGCATTGGTTGCTTTAGAAAATGCTTTTTAGGGGATATCGGCTATTATTTTTTTTCTTTTTATTATTGAAAAACTCTAGAATTAGTAATAAATATCATATAATTGTTATTTATTTTTATAATAAGACTTAAAATTTTTATATTTACATCTACAAAACTTTAGAATCTTAATTAAGTCCAAAATATATGTATAAAAATATAAAATTTTTATTATATTTAAACATATAAGTGTTGCATTAGAAAATATCAAAAATATAGGCAATAGATATATAAATTATAAGAATTATGTGGCGTTTGTGTAAATCCTTCAAATATATAATGACA